CACCTGCTTGCCTGCTTTCCTGTCTACACCTGCCTGCCTGCTTGCTTGCCTGCCTGCCTGCTTGCCTGCCTGCCTGACCGCCTGCCTGCCTGCCTGACCCCCTGCCTGCCTGCCTGTCTACACCTGCCTGTCTACACCTGCCTGCCTGCTTGCCTGCCTGCCTGCTTGCTTGCTTGCCTGCCTGCCTGCCTGCCTGCCTGCCTGCCTGCCTGTCTACATCTGCCTGTCTACTCCTGCCTGCCTGCCTGCTTGCTTGCCTGCCTGCTTGCTTTCCTGCCTGCCTGCCTGTCTACACATGCCTGCCTGCCTGCCTGCCTGCCTGTCTACATCTGCCTGTCTACTCCTGCCTGCCTGCCTGCCTGCCTGCCTGCCTGACCGCCTGTCTACACCTGCCTACCTGCCTGACCGCCTGCCTGCCTGTCTGCCTGTCTGTCTGCCTGTCTATACCTGCCTGCCTGCCTGCCTGTCTGCCTGCCTGCCTGCCTGCCTGTCTATACCTGCCTGCCTGCCTGTCTGCCTGTCTATACCTGCCTGCCTGCCTGCCTGCCTGTCTATACCTGCCTGTCTGCCTGCCTGCCTGCCTGCCTGCCTGCCTGACCGCCTGTCTGCCTGCCTGCCTGTCTACACCTGCCTACCTGCCTGACCGCCTGACTGCCTGCCTGACTGCCTGAGTGCCTGCTTGCCTGTCTGCCTGTCTACCTGTCTGTCTGTCTATACCTGACTGTCTGCCTGCCTGCAAGCCTGCCTGACCGCCTGCCTGACCGCCTGCCTGACTGCCTGACCGCCTGCCTGCCTGCCTGACTGCCTGCTTGCCTGTCTGCCTGTCTATACCTGACTGTCTGCCTGCCTACAAGCCTGCCTGCCCGCCTGGTTGCCTGTCTGCCTCTCTGTCTGTCTATACCTGACTGCCTGCCTGGTTGCCTGTCTGCCTGTCTGTCTGTCTATACCTGACTGTCTGTCTGCCTGCCTGCAAGCCTGCCTGCCTCGCCGACCTTGAATACTGTTGATAGGTCGATGTCAAGCTGATTCAGTTTGCATGTGGGGCATGCCATGATGCTGATGTTGTGGCACATGTTTGTTTGGTTGGTTAGATTTGTTTGGTTCACTGATTGGTGAGACCTGCCTGTCAGTCATGCTAGGTGGATAGGTCGGTTAATCGAATGGCCTCGTGTGATTGGTGCTCAGCATATATATGTTTGTTTACCCATTGCATGTTTGTATGTTATGTTATACCTCTACAACCCCATCATTGCATATCATTGTGTATCAATGTATATCATGCGATATTGATAAAACTACACATATATAGGCAAACTAGATAAACAACAAAATCATGCAGAACAACATGTTTCGGATTTTGGCCAGAGCGAAATTTGCACTGCTGGGGCATGCGTGTGGGTGCGTGTAGAAAAAGTGCTTTGCTATTGAACGCGATGCTGACTATGTGTTTTACTTATGTGTTTTATTTGATTTCTGCGTGTTTCAGGACCGGTTTTCGCCTCTCATCTCAGGAGGCCGCGTCCAGCTTTGGAGATGACCGTCTGCTAGTAGAGAAGTTTGTGGACAACCCCAGGCACATAGAAATGCAGGTGGGCATGAGAATGCTGGTTACATCATTTGGAGATTCTTCTTGTCCCGGCGTATAGAAGCCAATGTCGGCAAAATGAGTTGAATATTATTATTATTATTATTATTAAATCTTTATTGCATGTAATTCAGATACAAATTAATACATGTACTGACGACATAAAAAATCTGATAAATGCAATAGTGTTGAGTAGTATATGTGATGTTCACAGCATTATGATGCTTGGTTTATGACTAGCACTTCGAAGTTTCAGTGTCTTCCTGTCAAAGTAGTAATAATATTTATCATTGTAATGTAGGCGAGTGGTAATACATAGTAGTAATGCTATTAAAAAGCATTATTATCTCATCCCTGAATAAGTAGTGCAATGTTTAAATTAAGAACCGCCTCGCATGTTAACCAAGAGAGTGTCCTTCGTTCTCAAGGTTAACATGAAGGTCGCAGTTGCTGAGTTGGTAAACTGTTGGTCACTCTGTAGTCTCTCGCGTGTGTTTTTAGATCATCGGTGACAAGCATGGCAACTACGTGTACCTAAATGAGAGAGAGTGCTCTATACAGAGGCGAAATCAGAAAGTCATAGAAGAGGCTCCTAGGTAATAGCTCATAAATTGAGCGAATTCGCTTGTTGGTGTGTACGATTTGCCTCAAAATATTTACTAACATTCTGTATTGTAAAGCAACTGTTTATGTAAATGTGGTTAAGTAGAAAAGAAATCACTAATAATCTTGTCAGTACAGAAAATTATTTTATAAAAAAAAAAGGAATAAAGGAGAACAAAATGATTAAAAAAAAGGAGAACAATTATTTCTCATTCGGAAATTTAGTAGTGATTTTTCATAGATTTTAAACCGAAAAAATAGCGTAGAATAAATAAACACCGATTTCCAAACGTCGACAAAACCAGAGCGGCAAGTTGTAGCTCGCCTCCCGCATGTTGTGTAGTGGGATGGTGGTGTCAGTGGGTGCTTGACATTGCGTGTCGCTGCAGCACGTTCGTGGATCCTGAGATGCGCGTGCGCATGGGAGAAGAGGCGGTGCAGCTCTCCCGGGCCGTCGGCTACGACTCCGCCGGCACCGTCGAATTCCTCGTCGACTCGCAGAAGAACTTCTACTTCCTGGAGATGAACACACGTCTTCAGGTATGTGTTGCCGCGGCGACGACAACAGGTGTCCGCGCGTTGTCACGAGACGAGTGCTACGCGGGGTAGTAAGGCATATCACGCAATTTTGTGTTACAGATGCCAAGGTTTGCCTACACGCTGCTCTAATTCTTGAAGATTTTTTTCATGTGCATACAAAACTTTGCTGTTGCATGCAATATCCTGGTGCGATTCTCAAAGGTTTCACATGTACACAAACTTATGCCTTTCTGCACGAAACCTACTGGTTTGGTTCGTGGGGATTTTATGCATGTGCAAAGTTTCACATTCGTTTGTAAAACTGGACCGTGTTGACATCTTTATGAGCGTATACGCCTCACTAGATGCACACGTGTGACTGGTTGACGACACATGATATCGTGGCGATGACGACGAAGACAACAGTGTGACTGACATCTGATGTGTTGATGTCATTTGTTATCGCAACGACAACGACAGCAACGACAGTGATGATGACATTTGATGCATTATTGTCATGTGATGTTGCGACGATGACAGTGCAGCTGGCATCTGATGTGTTGATGTCATCTGATATCGTGACGATAACAACGATAGTGTGACTGACGACCGTTGCTTCTGTCGTGCGGGTGTCTGCCGCACTTCTCTCTGTGCGACACTGCGCGACCTCACACCGCCCCTCTCTCTGCGCACATCTCACGCCGCCCCTCGTTGTCTGTGCCCGATCTTCTCACGCCGCTCCGTCGCTGCTGCGCCAACGTGGTCACACCACGCCCGCCTCTGCCCTGCAGCACATATTCACGCCGCCGCCTGCTGCTGCTCGCTGCTACTCCTCACGCCGCCCCTCTCTCTGTGCGACTCTCACGCCGCGCAGCTTCTGGCGCCAACGTTGTCACCACCCGCCCCTCTCTCCTTGCGCACCCATCCTGCCGCCGCGGGTTCT